ATTAAGGTACATTGGGAAAATATTGTACCCAAGTTTCGTAAGAATTTCAAATTAATCTCCAAAAAACGTGGAAAATATAGTTTTGAATATGATTACAATTCGGTTATGCATTATGGTGAATATTATTTTAGTAAGAGTAAGGGTAAGAAGCCATCGATAACACCGCTACAACCGGGTGTTAGAATTGGTCAACGGAAAACATTGAGTAAAACGGATTGTTTGAAAATCAACGATTTATATGGCTGCCTTAAGGGACGGCATGCGAAAATGTACAGAAGTTTTTGTAATTTATTGGGTCTGTGAGAATTAATGTGAGCGAAAATAGATTATAAGTTATTAACAAATGAATCATATTGATTTAAATACAAAAATAAATGTAAATATATATTCGAATTTGTAAATAATTGTCTATAATGTTAGAATGTTTTGTTTTTTTGTATACATTTTTTATATACGATATTTTTTATATTACAACTAAAAAAAAATTAAAACAACATAATGTGATGTTTGACTTTTTACTATGTATATATTTTAAATTCGTATTACTAGTCTGTTTCTATAAAATTCGAAAGGAACGAATTCAAGTCAAGTGTATCAGTATTGCGTGTATTGGAAACAGTGCAGTAAATAGGTTTGACATTGAGACAACCTACTATGGACTAAATAGGTTTGAAATTGAGACAACCTACTATCGACCGGGACAAACTTTTTATAACCTCCACCATGAGGTAATTTAAAATAAGTCTATGTATATCTTGATAATTTTGATAGAAATATTTGTCACTAATGAGAAACAAATTAGAACCACTTGTGTTAAAAAAAAACCTCCCCAAAATATTGAATAATTGGGGCTACCCGAAAAAGTGAACCTATGACAATATAAAAACCCTCAGCCTATGACAAATTTTGACCAATTGTGGGAGAGATGCTAGAAGGACAGTATAAATGTTTGGTTAATATATTAGGTTATGCAAACTTTGGTTCAGATAGGTTACTCCACTCAAATTATATTATGAGTCATTTGAGTGGGAGTTACCAGGAGAAGTGTACCTATATTTCGGATCTTCGAACTTAATCTCCGCTTGAAAATAATAATACGATGAGCAAAGTTTGAATGAGATCGGTTACTACCTTCAAGAGTTATCGTCCGCACAAAACAGACGAACGGACAATTCTACATCAACTCCAAATTATTTGAAACGAATTTGGTTTAAAGAAACATAGGGTCTAAAAGTGACATTTCGATACGATTGGAAATTTAAATTCCAAGTATCTTTGATCCCAAAATGCTTAGGAAATTTCCAGAAATGTTCGTCTCTTTTACTAGATGTTACCCACAATATTTTAGCAAAATTTGGATGAAGTCGGGATTCAGCGATTTTGCGTATCCTAATACTTATTTCATACTCTTTTGCTTACTGAACAAAGGTACTTTACAGTCAACTCTAAACATGTTTTTCGGGGTAAAATGAGTACTTTATGAGATACGGAGTTCCTAATTTCCAAAAGTACCCCCAAGATTTTAAAAAATCATTAGGATTACCTCTCTGAAACATTTGAAATTTTTTCATGCTGATTACAATCGCTTCAAATTTTGGAAAGAATTTCAAAAAAAAAAAATGTCATAACCAGTATCAAAAGGACTATCTGTAGTAAAAAAATTCAAAAGTACTAGAGTGATAATCTAATTTATATTTAACATAAATTGGGGATATTTTTGAAACTTTGGACACCTATATCTCGGGAAGCACTGATTTCCAACAGTATCAGAAGGGCTATATATGGTAAAAGTTAGGTTAGGTTTTTAACTAATTGCAAATATATCAGTTATTTTAGTTTACTTACCCTATTATTCGGACTATTTCGGACTTGATCACAAGATATATTTCTCAACTCCTGTTGATTTACTAACTTTGTGAACATAAAATTGGAATATATTACCAAAGAATCATTTCCCTACGTGGTAAAACTTTCAACTGAAAGAAAATCATACATGTTATATTTTTTTATTTTATTTGTGCATTTGTCAATTTACCAAATAATAAACTGGGGACCATTTACCTCCATTTGATCATTCACAGCAGTCCTTGGTTCGAATGGTAAGATCACATTCATTCATTCATTTTTTTGGCTCCTTGTGTGACACTTTTGCTTTCCCACATAACGGTTGATTGACAGAAAAAAATGTTTGCAACTGATCACGACTAATCAAGAACTTTTCTAATAAATATCACTTGATGTAAGTCATATCTTTTATAGATCAATCGTTGTTAGTTCATATAATTCACTTATTGTCTGAATTATAACTAAATTTCAGTTTTTCAATATTTTCTGTTCAATTTTTCTTGCACTCTAAAATTTTACCCGCTTTTTGAAACACGAATTACGTTTTAATAAAAAAAAAGACACACACTGAACATACTCAATGCGACAATACATGGAAACTTTAATGGTGACGCAAACGGAATGGCATGTGTGTTACATATTGCTTTGTTCCCGTGCTTGTTTTAATAGAAAAGTTTTAAAGGAGAACAATGTCAAAATCAACATCAAAGTATATACGAATATGTTAAATAAGAAAACTAGAAAAAAATTAAATTGGAAATAAGTCGTTCAAGAACAACACTACACCCTATCAAAAGTTGACACTCGAGATGAAGGGGGATTTTATTATTATTAATTTGAAAGTCAAGCTAACCTAGTGTTTACAAACGGTTTATGTTTTTATATATTTGTCAGTTGTTTAGTGAATGTCTTGAATTTTTCATAGACATTAAACGTGGACAATTTATGATATTTAAACCCAAAAGAATAAAAAATAATTGAAAGTATAAAAAGTTGGTCGAAATGAATTGAAGATTAAAGAAATGAACAATTTTATAATTCAATTGTTATATAGTGGAGAGGGGGGCACCTTTGAACGTGGGCTTATAAAATCTCGGTTTGAATTTTTTCCGACTCGCAATATTTTTTTTGGAAATCTTGTACTTCAGCAGCGTAAATAACTTTGACTAGCTTTTTCAGTTGTCAACAAAATGAAGATGAGTGAACTATTTTAATTTTGTTGTTGTAAGGGCGCCCCCCTTGGGACAGCTTTAAAAATAATGACTTCGTCCATTAATCGAACTTAAAGTAAGTCATATGAATATTCTGTGCAAAGGTTACATCTGTACCATTGTATAATTATTACAAGGTAGGGCACAGCTACCAACTGATTACAATTTTTTCTCAAGGTACGTATTTGTGTATGTGTGTTTATTGTTTTGATTACTATGTCAAATAAATTCAAAATAAATTAAAATATATACGAATTTAATTGAAATGAAAATTATGTTATTAACATGTTCGTCTGGAAATAATTACTTTGTTATGTATGAAAAAAACATTTGATGGTATTCCCTACTGGATTTTGGGAAGAAAACATAACCTTTTATTCATTTTTCGCGTTTTTAGTTTTGTGTTGAAAAAATGCTAATTAAACACAAACACTTGTTGTGTATATTTATTTTATTTTTGGCAGAAGAAGCCACACGTGTATAGTTGCTTTTTTGTTATTCAACTCAAGCTGTCCTAAATTGTATTATTGTACCATGATCTGAATCTATCAGTTAAAAATTAAAAAAATATATATAAAATACAAATTTGTATGAGGCTTCAAAGGAAAAGATGATCTAAGGTGCCCCCTCTCCCATAATTAATTATTTTCATTCATGACTTAGTCCGCTTTTCCACAGGCAGATTTTTATTTGGCAAATTTTTGTTTTGTAAAATTCTAAACGAACGAATTCAAGTGACTTCCGACCAAACCTTTGTTTATGTAAACAAATATTTTTTGATTCAAAACAAAAATAAATGACATATTTTTCAAAACCAAGGAGTTTGGTTGTAAGTCACTCGAATTCGTTCGTTTAAAATTTTACAAAAACAGGCTGTTAAGAATTATTTTTCAAATTATCTGAACCATTTTTATTATTATTATTTTTTTGTTGACAATTTATACAAGTACTATTTCCTTTGTTACCATAAAGGAAAATTGTTATCGTAGTAAAAAATGGTACGTTCTTGCAGTTTCTGGATCAGACCATAAAACATTTTGTAGAACGTCTCACCATTAAACATTTTGTAGAACGTCCTTTTTAAGTCCTTTTTAAGTGATGAAGGTTTATTGGATAGCATAATTATAGAAGGTAGTCTCATTTGAGAATTTTATCATGTCAAACCTTTTTAATTTGGAACTCATCTATCAGTTTGAAATAATATGAAAAAATATATATTTTGTAAAGCTGAGTATTGCTCTCAAGATTCATCCTTCGTTGTTACAACTTATTAAGTTTTAGAGACAGGGAACTTCAAAATATTTATAAATATAAATAATTTAGCAATTTTTGTCTCTGAACACATGATATGCGTACATTTCGAAGGAAGATATTTTCATTAACATTTTGAAAGCTGAATACTGACAAAGGCAAATTTATGAAAAAATTGGAAACATATGACTGCATGAGACTACCTTGTTTAATAATGTCATGGTCTATTGCATAAATGAGTGGTCTGTTCCAGAACCTGCAAGAATGTCCAACTTTTTACTGCGATAACAATATTTCCATTATGATATCGGAAAAAATAGTAAAAATTAGTAGATTCTTGCAGTACGGAAACAGGCCAAAGGTAATTCGATACATTTCATGTATTTCCATCCCATGCTGGAAATTCCTGCGATTAACTCGATATACTTTTTCCTGAATGGCAAGAAAAATCTAAGAAGAGTTGGCAACGCAATAGAAATTATACCAATTCATATTGATTTTAAACATCATTTAAAATACTATTGCTACAAATAAATATTGATTTATGATAAATATGTATATGTAAATACTATTTCTATATTGAAATTATTTATATTTTTATTTTAATCAAATTTATTTATTTTCGTTTCCCAAAAAACATGTCTGGTCGTTGTGTTTCATTCCACATTGTCCCCCTTTGTTTCACATATACCTGAAATGCAACCCTGTTGTGGTTGTTTGACAACTCGTGCGATAAGTAAATACTGACAAAAATTTTGTGCCATGCGTCATTCCACTTTTGGACGAGGTTAGGTAAGAACCTATTGCGGTTATTTCGCGTTGTGTGCACGAGTTCATTTCTGTGAGAGTATTTTTCTTCTATATTTCTTGTCTCTGTGTGATAAAGAATACCAAAAAAAGATTGTGATATAGATATAAGTATTACTGTACTATATACATATTAAAAAAATACGAAACAGAAAATTAAAAAAGGAGAATAATTATGTTTAAAATAATTGTGCCTTTATTAACGAGAAACTCGTGCAAAGATAACGCGAATCTAAAAACCGCTTGTTGTATTAAAAATTTCCTAATTTCACCAACAACGCAAAATAGCACATTGTCGGTGGCAAATTTTACTCAACGACGCCATTTTCTTTTTTCATCGACCAACAGAAAAACTATCGCAGCTTTTCCAGCGATTACCGAAAAGGAACACATAGGAGTTAGTAGTTACCGCTTAGGACAAAACCTAGAGCTCCATACAAAATCAACTCGCCAAATTGTACGAGGAATTTATTGCTCTAGCGTTAAAGCAAATTTTAAGGAAGCGGCAGCCGATACTAATCCTACGGAAAAGCTAACCTCATCAGCATCAGACGTTGGAACAACATCCAAAAGGGATTCAACAGCAGCAGCACAACAACAACATACAAGACAACAGACTTTATTTGAAGATCCAGACGAAGAAGATTACAACAGTTTTGGTAAAATGTAAGTACAGCAAATTTTCCTCGAATTCGATTTAAGATGAAAGTCCCAAAATGTGGTGATTACATATTTTTTTTTTTTTGAAAATGCTTATCTACACCTGATTTGTCATCCATTTTGAAATACATTTTTTATTGGTACTTCTTGTTTCTTTCATCTTCCTCCCTCATTCTTCGCTATAACAAAATATTTTCTGTATACCAGATGTTTGATTGTATTCTTTGTGTTAGTGTTTCTCTTTTGGTCATGTTTGGCAAACATATATGCGTAGTTTTTTTATTTTATTGACATAGGCTAGGGGTGCAAAGAGAACATTAAGTAGTTTGTGTTACCCCTTTGCGTGTTATTTACATTTGAAATTATTAAGTAGACCGACCATGTATGGAAAATTTTTACATTAAAAAACCACGTTATTTTTTATTCTTTGTATTGCTACCTGTTTGACAAAGCCAGACGCTCATTCTCTTTCTCTTACCTTGTTGCCGACTTCATAACAACCAAATCTGACGTCAATATACTTTCATGGGTTGTCGGTGTGTAGTTGTGTGTGTGCAGTTCTGTATAAAAGACGTTTGCACATTTCATTGCCTCGTGTTTTTTTAAATTTCTCTTTCCCCTTCTTCCTTTTCTTTTGGTTTTACCTCGTTTTTTTTGTTTGCTATTTTGCCATTTTCTTTGTATACATACCACACATCACATTGTGCATGTGTGTGTTTTTATATACCAAAGATTTTGTTAATAATTTTTTGCCAGCTCGACACGTTTATTTTTTCGCTGGTTTTTTATTTTCATGTGTTTGTGTGTTGTTGTTTTTTGTGTTAATACATGAACGAACTCATTGGTGGACTCTCTTCTCTGTGATAGACACAAGATAATTACCTCTATTTGTAGTTGTCTGTCGTCTAATCAAGTTTTTTTTTCTTTGACACAAAATACCCTCACCAACAACTACTCGTTCGTTTCTCATATGAGACCATGAACAAATGCCATACTAACAGGAAAGCAAGATTCATTTTGTGTGGATGATGATGATGTGCATCCGTTATGAGAAATAGATTCTTTGTGTATACATCAAAGGGGGTATTTTTTGTTCATGCCCTGCCCTGAGGGTAGGGTGCATTGTACCACAACAGCGGTCATTTCTACCTGACATTTTCATACGTTGCGTTGCATTGCATCGATGCATTCATGCATTTTTTGTGTTACATACCCCAGCTGTAGCAGCATTCATATTTTAAGGTTGTCTGCCGCCTGCATATAGAATGATTTTGTGGATGAATTGTCATGATTCTATTTAATATGTTCAACCTAACCTAACTATGCAGCAGACTTGTGGTATATGTATTGTGTATGTAATTTTAATATAAATTGACTTTGTTATTTTTTACCAGTTTCGGAATTATTATCCACATTCGTTTCGGAAACAGTTGATATACTTTTTGTTTACGAAAAACAGATAAGAAATCGGATAAGATAACCTTCACAAGCATTTTTAAAGGATCATTGTAATAAAATCGGACGAAATCAAGCGATCCTTATCTTGTCATTCTGCACTCTATGTAAAAATCAACTCAGAAAGTGAAAAAAATGTGAATTTTTATTTCAAAAAAATTATTTTCCAAAATTCTGAAAAGCGGATAATTCTTCAATAGATCTATGAGCCACTGTTTAGAGTAATGCTCATGGTAAAATAGTATTGACTTTGTTGCTTGTATACCATCTTTTGACGTCCGATGATAAATAAATATTGTAGGTAATTTATTTAAACAAATCAAAATATATTTTTCAGCACAATTAGCCTATAAATTGTTGTATCTCTCAGACAATTTGTTATAAAGCTTGTGCAAAAGAAATTTCAGGATAATTTAATTTGATGTGAAGACTTGTATTTGGTCTCATTTCGGAACCATTATCCAACATTATATTAAGAGCAAATAGAATAATTTTTAGGAATTGTATATGGTTATCGATATTTTAGCGCAATTAGCCTATAAATTGTTGTATATCTCTGACAATTTGTTATAAAGCTTGCGCAAGATAAAATTACGGTTAATTAAATTTGATGTGAAGACTAACATATGGTCTCATTTCGGAACCATTAGCCAACAAATAAAAAAATATAAATACAGTCGACGCCAGGTATAACGAATACTCAGTTTAACGAATTCAGGATATAACGAATAAGCAAAATAACGACTTTTTAATACTGACTACCGTATATAACGAACGTTTTCCAAATGTATATATTGGGTATAACGAATGGCGCAAAAAATAATGGGTTAGCCTTATAAAAAATATGTTAACACGTTATTCTTACTGTTATTACGTTAATTGATATGTTTTTTCTAAGAAATTTTTGTTTTTAAAGAAAATTGCACCTTAAAATAACTTCGCAATATAACGAATTTTTCGCTATAACGAATGGGCCTGACAATATATCAGTCGTTATACCGGACTGTCCCATAAATGTTATATAAATAATTCAACGAAATAGTAGGTGTTTGTGTTTAAATTCTTATCCAATTTTCTGTTTTTACTCCACCTTTTAGATCATTTATTTTTCGAAGATATTATTCTCAGAAGTTTGGTTACTTTATATGATTGTCGTCATATATTACCTTGAAACAAATTCGTTTCCTAGAGTAGTCTTTGCATACGTTAAATTTAACAATAATTTTGATTAATGATTAATTGATTAATTTTTGATCATAAGACACCATTATGAAAAAGGTGATAATTATAGCGATAATATTATGTTTGCTAAAACATTAAAATTGTTATTTATTGTATGGAATGTTACGAATAAAAAATGAAAAAGCAGAAAATAAAATCTGAAATTTAATTTCTGTATTAAATTTTTCCATTTTCCATAATAGCTACACTAGATTCAATAATCATTTTTATTGACCTCTTTCCAGGGCTATAAGTCGCCCAAAAGCTATTCAGGCTATAATATATAACATTTACCATTACCTACACCACTTCTCATAATATTCATATATATTTACCGACCATTTTATCAAACGATAATTCTAAGGTCAGGAACTGAACCGATTGTAAAAAACGATTTTAGTTTAACGTGAATTGGGCTTTCTAGTCTATAAGTAAAATTTTTTTACTTTTGCTGGTTGCTGCAATTTAAGATTTGATAATGTTTATCAATGACCTCTTTAAAAAGTTTTATACAAGGTTAAGTACTGATAAAATAAACAGATATTTAAAGAGATATTTTGTCATTTTCTAAAACTATACCGATATTTCATTATACACTTCTATAATTTTTAACATGTATAGCGGGCTAGGACTTTGTAATAAATTCCAAAAACACATTACTTCTGAATATACATATCACTATTTACAAATTCAATCAACTACTCTTTATATACGAGCTAGAAAATAATTTGTAAATCAATATTTCTCTATTTACAGTATTGAGTACACATGTGTTATTAATAAAATACATAAATCCCATTTATTAAACTAACACACAAATTAATCGAATTCCACGCCTCTCTTACCAAGAACCCCCCACGCTACAAATTATACTTATGATGTGACATTAAATAAATGAACATCACTTTCACATTATTTTTATTAATACAAATACAAAAAAACGACGTCTAATTGCATGTTAACAATTATTTATATTGCCCCTAATTTAAGAAAATACAAAAACAAACAAAGTCATTTCTGTTGGCAAATGTATACACGCGACAAAAAGCCGTCAAAGAAGAGAGAGAACGCGAACGACAATATAAATGTTGTCGTCGGTGTCAACGACGACGTCGTTTGGGTTGGCATTTTGAGTGACGGCAAAATGTAATATTGTGTTTTTTGCTAGTTGTTGTGATAGCGCTGTGTATACTGAAAAGTCAAAATGTGGCATGCAGCAGCCAATCGTCAGCCAACAACCAAAAAGAAAGCACAACAACTAGAGAACAGAACACTAGATATTCAAAAAGAGAGTGTACCACCTGGTGTATAATTTATAAATTTAGTTTTAAATAAGAATTTAACATGCAAACAAATCAAAATCACATATTGAAATCATTCAAATTATATTGAGCAAAAGTAGGACGAGGAAAAGGGGAAACGAGGAAGGCGGCAGACATTATGGCTGGCATGGATTATAATTTTATGATTCTAAGTTTTATTGGAAACTATTAAATGCAAATAAAAAACAAATTTATTAATTTCAAAATAATGACGGAGGTTTTCAGAAACTCTTAACGTTTGTTGTTTCCCCCAAGCCAACGACAGAGGCTAACAAAAATTTGTAGTGAAACCATTTTTATTCGGTGTTTGTTATTCAAACAGGAAAGCCAAGAAGCGCTAACGGAAAATTCCGTAAAAGATTTTAATTACATACAGTTTGCATAAGAATATTTATATAAGCTTATATTTTACCCACAAAATGACCTCTCATCGTAAATCATCATCTAAAAGGCAATAACATTTTATTTTATTCTTTATTCTTGATCTAATTTTTACTAATGTTGTATCCTTTTCATTTGTTTTCTTTTAGGGCTCCTCATGACAAAACTTATGGTGCCGCTCGTGGCGGACGTGATGAAAACCGCAGCCGTGGTGAGGGTGGCGATCGTTATGGCAGCCGTAGCGGTGGACGTGGTGGTGATTACCACGGCGTAAGCAAGGGACGTGTTGAAAAAGGAGGTCGTGGTGGTGATCGTGGAGGTCGCGGTGGCGGCTTCGGTGGCGGTTATGGCGGCGGCAGTGGTTTTGGCGGTGGTGATCGTCGTGGAGGTGGTGGCGGTAACGCCCAAGACCTTTCCATTCGCCCCGTTGATTTCAGCAACTTGACTCCATTCAAAAAGGATTTCTACAAGGAACATCCCACTGTTGCCAATCGCTCCTTTGCCGAGGTCCAGCGTTTCCGTGACGAACATGAAATCACAATTCGCGGTAATGCCCCCAATCCCATTCAAGATTTCAGCGAGGCCTACTTGCCCGAATATGTAACCAAAGAAATCCGCCGTCAAGGCTATAAGGCACCCACAGCCATTCAGGCCCAGGGTTGGCCCATTGCCATGGCTGGCCACAATTTGGTCGGTATTGCCAAGACAGGTTCAGGCAAAACTTTGGGTTATATCTTGCCCGCCATTGTACACATCAACAATCAGGCTCCCCTGCAACGTGGTGATGGTCCCATTGCCTTGGTTTTGGCGCCCACCCGTGAATTGGCCCAACAAATTCAACAAGTTGCCACCGAATTTGGTTCTTCATCATATGTACGCAATACTTGTGTATTCGGTGGTGCACCCAAAGGCGGTCAAATGCGCGATCTTCAACGTGGCTGTGAAATTGTTATTGCCACACCTGGACGTTTGATTGATTTCTTGGCCGCTGGTGCCACCAATTTGAGACGTTGCACATATTTGGTATTGGACGAAGCTGATCGTATGTTGGATATGGGTTTCGAACCTCAAATTCGTAAGATCATCTCACAAATTCGTCCCGATCGTCAGACATTGATGTGGTCCGCCACATGGCCCAAAGAGGTTAAGCAATTGGCTGAAGATTTCTTGGGAGATTATATACAAATTAATATCGGTTCATTGGAATTGTCGGCTAATCACAATATTCGTCAAGTCATTGATGTGTGCGAGGAAAATGACAAGGAAGAAAAGTAAGTTGGAATATAATATGATTTATAGTTTTGAAATGCTCTGCGAGCACAGCAAAATCACAACCTCCCAATTTTATGGTTTTGCAATAATCTTAGAGCACATGTTTTTAAATATGTTTTTGGTTATTGGAGATTAAATATTTTCTGTAGTAACTAAAAATATAAAAAACAGATATTGCAGTGTGCTCGGGTATATCCAAATTCCTTTAATTTGTCTATTCAATATTAATGTATGTTTTTCTCCTATTACAGATTAAAATCTTTGCTTTCGGAAATCTATGATACCAGCGAAAATCCCGGCAAAATTATAATTTTCGTTGAAACAAAACGTCGCGTTGATCATTTGGTACGTTTCATTCGCAGCTTTGGCGTCCGTTGCGGTGCCATTCACGGTGACAAATCACAATCGGAACGTGATTTTGTATTGCGTGAATTCCGTTCGGGCAAATCAAATATTTTGGTAGCCACAGATGTTGCCGCTCGTGGTTTGGGTAAGTTTTTCTTGAAGTCTTTGTTGTTATTATCACCATCACCACTACTATCTTCATTCTACGAATATAATAATAGATATATCCTCCCACACACATGTAATATGTTTTATGATCGTCTAGCTTTCATCTACTACTACATCATCATCATCTATAGAATAATTATTTATTTCGATTTTATTATTAAATGAAAGAAATGCTAATTTTTTTAAATGCAAAACATGAAATTTGTTTGGAAGCAAAAATTCCAAGTTTAGAGGTTCATAGCATTGTTTGAATACTATGAACGGCATCTTTAATATTTTATCAAATACTCTGACTTAAATTCTAGGATTGAATGCAAATCTAAACGCACTACGTAATATTGAACTATATCCGTTGACCGAGTCTTCTCAGTCAACGATCTCAGCTCATTGTGGACACATTTACACAACTTGAGAAGTTACAGGAAATTCATGTCTATTTTATCGAAAGATAATTTCGATCCATAATTTATTAGAGTTTCATTTTCAATTCGGATATATAAATAAAGCAAATGCTTTAATATATTATAAAAAAATTGGACTTATATTCTATGACTGAATGCAAATATAAACACACTTCCTTATATTAAATTTTCCTGGTTCTATGTATGTATGACTACCCCTAGTAAAAAATCTTTGGGAATATCCTTTTTTCCCGAATATTATGTTTTAACTATTAAGTTCTTCATGCATTATTATTTTAAACGAAGTTCGGAAACAATGAACTTGCATTTGTTCATAGGAGGCAAAGTAATCTACCGACAGTCCTGCTAAAAAATGTTTTTAATCATCTTGAACACAATTCTGGTAGCCATTCTCTCTCACTGTATACAAAGAATCACATTGATGCTAAATATACACAAAGAAGGTGTTTTTGAGACGATAGTATTACCAGTCTTTAATATTTTCTGTTTTGCATTTTAAAATTTCATTTCAATATGTTGTAGTTTATTTTTGGGCTTTTATTCGAAATTTAACAGTAAAATTATAGGGCTAGAAATCAATCAGCATACTATAAAATGCGCTCCTCCTCATTTCCATACCCAAACCCAACATTCTTATCATTAATCCATATCTACTTACTTACTACTTTATCTTATCCTCCCTCATCCCTAACCCCTCGAACACACATTTCAATTTTAGATTATAAGATAACAATAACAACAACCATAAAAAACGAAACATGACTTTATTAATACTTATATGGTATTTTTCCTTTCCCTCCACCCCCTCACAAAAAACGCCTTGTGTGTGTCATCAACACTGTTTTTGTCTCTTCCCAATTCTCTTTTTATTTCGTTTACAGAGGCCATAATAAATTGTTGCATGGTGGGGATAAAATGTCAACTAAAAAATCTTGTAATGATTTGAACGAAAAACGAAATCGAATGTAAAAGTGAAAGTCACATTTGAAACATGTGAGCTGTGTATTGAATGAAATCTTTTTCTTCTCTCGGACGCGTTTTGAGAAAGCGGCGGCCACGGATATATAGAAACGGCAACACTTTTTTACCATTAACTGGCCATTGGAAAAAAGGGTATGCCGTAGCAAAAAACCGTCTCACCACCGCTCAATAACCGAGAATCCCTCGTTACAATCAATCGCTAAGGAGGAGGAGGTATATTTGCAACAAAACACAATGTGTGGATTACGCTTGGTTGTGAATGAATGTAATACAACGCCGCACACACAATTTACCCAATGGTGGAGTAGTGGTGTCGTCGTGTGTATCAATTATTACTGAGCGTACCGCACCTGGGCATATGTTTGGTTTGCTGCAATTTTTTTATAACATCCAGCCGAACAAGCAAAAATATACCGCCGCCACCTTCAGAGATATAATAATAAATACTACGCGCTAAACTAATTTAAACAAATGCATTTCGCGTCACAACAACAACAACATATATCCCTATCATCAAGCAAGCGCGCATTTAAAAAATGTGCACAAAAAAGAGGCCTCTGCTGTAAAAAAAATGTTGGGAGCAAATTGGTGTTGAACGAACATAGAAACAAAACAACATGAAGCTAGAAATACTTCTTAACTAAAAAAATGAAAGCATAACCATAAATCTTTTCTCTCTCTCAATTTAAAATCTCAATAAAAATATTAACTAAATTAATTTAAAACAAAAAATAAGAAATTAATGTTAACGGTGGGGACACACGTGCAGCAGCATCATCACCATTGGACGGAGTGCATTGCATTGCAGGAGTCAGTTGAAACATATTCGAACAGAAAAAAACCCCAAAACTCAGCTTTGGAGTTTTTACAAAAATAAGAAATTTGAAGAATATAACTCAAGAACATCTCCCCGCGAATGGCGAATGCTCTCCGCTCTATTCACAGTTGGCTTAAGCAGGCATCTCAATAGAAACAGAAAATAAGTAAAACAGCTCGATACAGAGTGAAGCTGCTCATTCAAGCTCGCTCGCTCGCACTTTCTATCTATGTGTGTATGAATGTGTTCTTTGTTGTGTATACAAGAAACGAAACAAAGCTGGATCATTGTTACTGGTGATGATTTGGTTTTAAAATTTGGTTTTTTTGTTGAAAAAAAAAAAAATAAATAATTCAAAACAAATGGAACTTCTTAAATGCAGTTGGAGAGACGTATCCCAAAGTATGTGAAATCGTATAACAAATGTTGAATAGGCTGTTCACAAGAGGACCACAAAACCCCTAAAACGACGGCGCATATCATCATTTGCTTTTACGTCCTTTACAAAAACGAGAGTACGTCCCCGGCACAAAATCGTAACGTCGTTTTACACAACAACTACCTCCGCTCAAACCAACAACAAAATACACAAGCAAAGGACACAAAAAAAATTCCTACAAAATGAGAACAACAAGGAAAATACATAGAAAAATAACAACTAAACCAGTTAGAGAATAGTTAACTTATTTTAGGAAATCTCTTCCTACTACATACACAAAATCAACAACAACAATAATATTATTATGTTATTTATAAAGTAACCATCGGATGCCTGCCTTAGATAATACCTCTGTTGTACACAATGGATGCTGGAGCCTTTGAATTGTTGCGACACACTAAGAGAAACGCACTCAACCTCATCAGAATTGTATGTATGTATGTGTGTGGATTAAAGTGTGTTAAATAGTATTTAGAAAAGAACATGGGCTTTGGCGTCTTTTGAAAAATATCGTCGTTCTTCATCGATCGCGCGATAAAATTGTACACAACTAGAAACCAACTAGAATTGAAAAAAGAAAAAACGTATGCTGAACATGTGTGTCTAGATTTTGAAAGAAGCAAACGAGAAGTCGAACAAGCTATTAGAAATTTATTTGAAAAGAAATAAATTTTCGTCAAGTCTCACCCCCACTGCGCTCTATAAGCATAATGTTGTGGGGTGGGGTTATGGGACGGACGATCTCATATTAGTTCTCCTCTAACCTCTTCCAAAAAATACTGCGTCGTCCAAATGTGCATCCCAAAACACACGGCGGTATTGCGCCTATAAAACGACGTGGTTCCTGTGAAGAGTTTATGTGTTTTCTTGAAATTTCGTTCGCATTTTATTGATAAGAAAAAAAAAGAAACTTCCAAAAAATAAGGTAATTTATTTTTTACTTAAATTAAACTACTATATTTTTTACAAATTGTTAATTGCTAAATTTTTTTCTTAATATCGAAATTCATATTTGTAGTTTTTTGAAGTAAACAAAAAAGCTTTTTTCAAAATTCTAACCAACCAGAAAAGTTAGTTTAAAAGAGAGTAGAAGAATATTGTTTTTTTTTGTTTGTTTTAAATACCAAAAAGAAGAAGGCATACAGGCAAAAGAGAGAAAATGAAAACAAGTCATGGTTGTTTACTACTACTATACTATCTTACCTATCTATATATTTCTATATATATGGGAGGGACATTTTGAAACATAAACTGTGTTACGTTTTTGCTATCTTTAATTGTTCCCATTTTGATGAAATTTTATTAATTTATTTATCTTTTCTATATATTTTATAACAATTCCATAATTCACCAAAACACAACAGACGTTGATGGCATTAAATATGTTATTAATTTCGATTATCCACAATCATCGGAGGATTATATCCATCGTATTGGCCGTACTGGACGCTCAAACACAACTGGCACATCATATGCATTCTTTACACGCAACAACTCAAAACAATCGAAGGCATTGTTAGATGTACTTCGTGAGGCTAATCAGGTAAGAATTTTTGTATTTTTATTTACAATATAAATTAAAATAAGATTTGAAAATATATTTTTAAAGGAGACCAAATTTTGAAAATGGCCTCAGAATGTAGCCGAAAAAGAAAAAAGAATAACTGTTGGATATAGTAAAAATCAAAAGAAAACCCGACGAATACCGTAACTTTCAATACACACAATTCGGAATATATGTACATTATCCGTAGACAAAACATTCTAAAATTCGTAAATTGAACATAAGCCAAAATTCGATTCATAACGTCTAAAAATTCGACCTTTTTGTTTTTAAATCGAATAGTTTTGGACAAATCTCAAGGAATGGAATCATTTGGGGTACCATTATTTTAAATAATTCGCCACAAAAAATAGGAGATTTAAAGTTCTGTTATTTTTTCAGAGGCCGTTTTCAAACGGTCGTTCGGTATCTGCATAATCAATGTAGAACATTTGAAGTCGATAATAACCAAGTCTGTTTGGCCGCCTGTCTGATTGGTTGCACTAGAAGATCATATGGAAAGTCAAAGTCAGGATTTGGATCAATCTTAAATTAGATCGACAGTACAAAATGTCTGTAGAAAGAGGGTCATAATTGTCACATCCATATTATCCTTCGTCTAGATTATACTTAGAGCCGCATTTTTAAAAGTTAAAATTTGGGCAATGTCAAATTACAGACCCTGAGGTTGAATGATTCGGCTAGGGCCTTTAATTTAGATTATATAGAGTTTAATTCAGATTATATCGAAAATATGGGAAAAATCTCTGGTAGGAGGTTTTTATTCTCTGAGAGAGTTTGAAATACTCGGCTAGAACTTTTGATATATTGAAAATTGGACGGACTTTTATATGGAAGCAATTCTTCGAAGAGTTTTTTATTATTCAACAAGAAGCCAAATGTCAAATTTCAGTCACTAGGTTTGGAAAATCCACTTAGAATGATAAAATTTCTGAAAATGTGGAGGTACCGTTATATGGAGGTTAAATCGAAAATTTAATTTTTTCCAATTTAATTTTTTATAAAAATATTTTTTCAAAAAAATCCAATTTCTAATTTGTTCCTCTCTCGCCTACAGGAAATCAACCCCGCTCTAGAAAACATGGTACGCAACAGCCGTTTCGATGGTGGCGGCCGTTCCCGTTATGGCGGTGGCGGTAACTCTCGTTACAATGGCACCTTCAAAAAGGGCTCCATGAGCAATGGTCGCGGCTATGGCGGCGGTAATGGCGGTGGTTATGGCGGTGGCCGCAGCAACGGTTATGGCGGTGGTGATAGTGGTCGCAGCAACGGCTACGGTGGCGGCAGTGGAGACAGTGGCTACAGCCGTGGTGGCGGTGCCAGTAGTAGTAGTGGCGGCAATACCAGACATACGCGTTTTGATTAAACCCCAACACACATAATCAAATTAGCAACAAAACAAAAATTTAGTTTATAAGGAATTAATATTAAACAAAAACAAAACTTAATGTTAGTACTACTTTTACTTTTTAATAACCAACAACAACAACAATCCAAAATCATTTGTTTCTCATTTTAACAAAATCACTACAACAACATACTTATCAAATGAAAACAGATTCCATACATTTATTGTATACTCTCGTATCTATCTACATCCATATATAATAATTACATAATACATATACAACAAAACAAACAACAACAAAAAACTGAGGCTTTTTTATATAAAAAATGAAAAAAAAATACCTTAAATTCCATTTGTAGTTGGTTGCCCCGCCTAAAAAAGGTATTGGAAAGAATAATTATTTTGCATATTCATAGAAGGAAATATCATTGTTTGTCTTTATTTTTCTTAAATTATAATTCAACTACAAACACAAGAATATTTCGTGTGATACTTTTTTTTGGAATTTAATAAAATAAAACAGCAAACAAAATGATATGCATTTTTTTGTGATACTCTGTCCTCAAATAACTTATAATCTACAATACAACAATAAGCAGTAATAAATTTATAAAAAACACAATTTATAAGAACAAAACAAATTTAAAATTGTATTTCTTTTCACATTGTCCTCCTCCTCTCCTCCTTCGCATACGCCGCCACATACATTTTTTATTCAATGTACAAACAACAGAAACTTAACTGAATATGAACACTTTAATTGTTCAAAACATACACACTTAAGTTTACATTTGCTTTGAAAATAATTTCTAGCTTTAAGTCTAGGAATTGCAAAAGACCGTAAAAACAAAACCACCACACAGCATGTGTAAACCTTTGTGTTTGAGAGGAGAAAAAAAAACAAAACTAAACAAACCAACTTTATTATAAACTAATTTGTTTTCTAATTCTTTTGCCGCACAAACAACAACTACAACTAGCCAACGCCACGTCGTATACATGTAAGCCCTAGTTTATTTTCCTTTGTTGGCATTTTGTAAATCCTGCTACGCCGCCACATCATCAAACAAAGAACGAAACGAAAAAAGTCGAGGAATATTTATTAAATTAGTTTTTCTGTTCATTATTTTTCTTCCTTGAATTAATTAACCCATTTTCGTTTGGTTTAATTTTTATTTGGTTGTGAATTATTGCCCCCAATTTAATTTACATTCAATCGACAAATTTGGCATTCTACTACAATTATACTTTTATTTGTATGATAACAAACTTAAAACAATCCTAAACATAAAACTTAAGATAAATGAATGTATTTCATTGAAAAAAGTAAAACAAACAAAAACAATAAAATAAATTATACAGGAAACACAAATGGTCTCATAGTTTAACATTGGTTAATTTTTGGTTGGTTTTTGGGCTATATGGGATTTTTAAATCCCAGCGAATAAATGCCATTTATGGTAAGTAGATATTTACTTATTACAGAGGAACTGTAATGTTCTTAATAATCTACCATTTATACACAATTTATTAGTGTCACCAATACTGTATATATAAACACAATGTTTTACTATTGACATTTAACATGTGGGTCATTGGAAATGAACTATTCCCCACATAAATAATAGATCACTTGAAAAGACGACGGCTTGACACTAACTAATGGTTTTTTTTTTGAAAAGTATGGAATATTACATTGTGTGGGAGGTATCATCTTCGAACTTGATTTAAGTTTGAAATAAATAAAACGACGTTCGAAATGTGTGTCAAATTTGACTTTCCATATGATTTTTATTCGATTAATATATTTTCAAAATGTTGACCCTTTGTGGAAAAGATACGATATGGAATTTACCGATGAGTCTCATATTAAAACTTATTTTACAGTTGGTAAAAATACGACGATTCCATTCGGATCTCAAATAATCTCGTCTTGTATTTAGTTTATGGCTCAAGAAGATAACGAAAAGTCTCGCGAAATATTTTCAAAAAACCTCATTTGATTTTACTAAATGTAACACATTTCTGAAATAAAGTGCAATAGTCGCAAACACTCTCAGGATTTTCATTCCCATACGGAATTTTCCGTCCCCACCAAAAACATGTTGTCTAGCGTAATTGAATTTTGTTGACCGAAATATTTTCAAAAAACCTCATTTGATTTTACTAAATGTAACACATTTCTGAAATAAAGTGCAATAGCCGCAAACACTCAGGATTTTCATTCCCATACGGAATTTTCCGTCCCCACCAAAATCATGTTGTCTAGCGTAATTGAATTTTGTTGACCACACTGTAGGGTAATAAACTGATTTTAAGATTTTTGATTAATTTTCATCCAATAGATGTCGCCAAAAACTTTAACACAACAGGGGCCAATTCATCGCAGTCGAAATCGAGTACTTCGGCATCGTAATGTAGTTTACGCGGATCACAGCAGTCGTTATCGAATTGGTTCTGTGGCGCGAATTGACAACAAAACTAAATTCCTTGTTAATGCCACAGTGTACTCATCCTCTGGATACGAAAAAGAGGAAATAAAAAAATCTTTTGGATTCATATAATATTTATACACATATATTTAAACACACCAAAACGATATAAATTTCCAAAAATAACATATTTTGATCACGAGAACTTATTTTGACATACTCTTTCGCTTCCAATTTCCATATGTTTACAGCAATGTAAAAAATGTAGTAGACAAAATAAATTACGATCGAATGCGGTGATCCAAACATTTACAACGATCGAAATGTTTCTCTATACAAAACAGAACTCGGTGGCGAATTCGGTGATTTGGCTCCAGGTATGTATTGGTATGTTCCCGTACTGTAAGAATTAAGGTATATTTAATAAGGTAGCCGCATCGGCCCAGCTGTTGCTGCAAATAAATGTCAAAAATGTTGTTGTAATGTTCAACCAAAAAATTAAAAAACAAAATTAAAAATGAAAATCAGCGAATTTCGAAGGACTTGTTTGGCAATACTTTTATTAACATTTTCTACAAGAATTTGTGTAAAAAATCTTGTCAATCTGTTTGTTTCGGCAAAATATTTTTGACATATCAAAATACAACAACCGATGTTTGTTGTAGAAATTCGCCGATGCGGTTACCTTGTACCTTGTATTACCTTGTATTCCTTAAAAAGTCTACGCCTTGATAGGCCTTGAAAAAATATTCCTTAAAAAGTCTACGCCTTGATAGGCCTTGAAAAAATATTCCTTAAAAAGTCTACGCCTTGATAGGCCTTGAAAAAATATTCCTTAAAAAGTCTACGCCTTGATAGGCCTTGAAAAAATATTCCTTAAAAAGTCTACGCCTTGATAGGCCTTGAAAAAATATTCCTTAAAAAGTCTACGCCTTGATAGACCTTGAAAAAATATTCCTTAAAAAGTCTACGCCTAGATAGGCCTTGAAAAAATTTTCCTTAAAAAGTCTACGCCTTGATAGGCCTTGAAAAAATATTCCTTAAAAAGTCTACGCCTTGATAGGCCTTGAAAAAATATTCCTTAAAAAGTCTACGCCTTGATAGGCCTTGAAAAAATATTCCTTAAAAAGTCTACGCCTTGATAGGCCTTGAAAAAATATTCCTTAAAAAGTCTACGCCTTGATAGGCCTTGAAAAAAGAAAAAATATTCCTTAAAAAGTCTACGCCTTGATAGTCCTTGAAAAAATATTCCTTAAAAAGTCTACGCCTTGATAGAATATTCTGCAAAAAGTCTGACATGATAGCCTTGAAAAAAAATATTGGTAAGAAAGGCTACGCCTTGAAAAAATAATCTTTAAAAATTCTAAGCCTTGAGAAGTTATTCTTTGAAAAAAAAACTACTAACTAAACTTGAGAGTCCTTGAAAAGTATTCCTTAAAAGATCTACGCCATGACCAAACTTGCAGACTTTTTTACATTGCAAGATCTAAAACTTCTCAAATGGACTTCCGTCGCTCCTCTACTCCTTTTTCTCTTACAAATATATAAAAGTACAAAAAATGCCATATTCTACAAACAATGTTAATTTCATTTAAGAACTACTTATTTCTTTACTTGCCATTGAGCTTTTTAATGTTAAATGACAGCAACCTCAGAATATTAGAAAATACCGTCCATTGAATGGGAACAAAAAATAAATTAAATAATAAAAAATCATGGTCCACGTCGTTTGGTAAGTGAGTCAAATTTAATTAACACTTAAGCGAAGAATTCAATCAGAAATGGCCATTACGGCGGTTGGTGGCGTGTTGTTGGTGCTATCATTTAAGAAGTGCAAAATGATTTAAAAATATCACGAAGCAGAGAAGACCCAAAAAGAGAAGAAGAAGAGGAAGAACCGAACAAAAATAGCACACAGTTCCGACAATTTCAATTTCACCCATCTACCCTAACCGAATGCTTGTCTGTCCGTCCATCCATCACACTTACCCTGCGTTTCACACTCAATGGAATGATTGCTTACATAGTAGCGAGAAGATGTTTTTTTAATGTTAATATTAACGGTAGCGTCAAGAATATGGAATGATGTTGAGCCAAGGTGTTCGTAGGCGAACAACAACAACAACAAGAAAGGAATTCAATTTCTTAAACAACCATAAAAAAATCCTTTCACTATGTTGGCAGTGGCAGCAAATAAACGAACGGTAATGTATGAAATATAGCGCCATTGTTGTGAAATGTAGTGTGAGTTTGATTTCACCTGGGCTATTCACCTTATTTTAATGGTAGGGCAGGGTTTGGAAATGTTTGGGCTATATCTTCAAACAAATATTTTTCAAAAAATCCACGCCTCTCAAAATATGCCAAAAAATATTTTTAAAAACTCACTCACATAAAAATAGAATTAAAAACCAGTGAGGAAAGTAGTAAAGTAAAGTAAAAGTAGAGCCGACTATATGATACCCTTCACTACTTTGGTATATTTTACACATATATCCTAATAGACGTCGCCTTTCGAAATAATATTGACATGAAATTGAACGAACTTAAATATGTGGTATTTATCTATATGTGAACCGATTAACATC